AATATATATATATATAAATGATAATATAATATATATATATATATATATATATATATAATTTTAAATGTTTTTTCTAAAATTTTTTTTTTAAACTTTCTTTGTATATGGTGAGTTTTTATCTAGACGAAGCGATTAAGAGCTGTTATTTTTCTAATGTTCGGCCAATATTGTTACCCGTATTTCTTTTCCATTCGGTAACATGGTCTGAGTGAAGTTGTCCTACACATAGGGAGTGGACGTCCCAATGTTTGGATCTTTTCCAGATGCCAGAAATGTCAACGAACCAATACTTGGCTCTTGCAGATCGTAATAAATAAATTATTTTTTTAAATATTTTTATCTAGGGGACAGAGCTCGTTGGCCTTCCCTTTTTAATTATCTATCTATGGACTCTAGGTTTTTTGAAATTCATTTTTCTCCTCCAGTTGTTATCATTAATATTAATTAAAATTTATATGTTATATCCCAGAAAATATATAATGGGACGAAACCGGTTGTTCTTTTTTAGCTTCTTAAAATATAACCCGAAATTTAAAAAATATATTGTCAATTTATCCATCACTCTGTACATATATATATAAAAAAATATATATATATATGGCAATATAATATATTTATATATAGACTTTTGACTATATAGAAGAATAGAGAAAGATTTTAAAGTCCGTATTTTCAGACAGGTCTGTGTCCTTTTCAACGAGACGTGAAATAAACAAATAATTGGGACATTTCTTTTAAATCTATGGATCTATCTATCTATCAGTGCATATATATATATATATATATATATATATATATATATATTTATATATATATATATATATATCATATAATATAATATACAAACATGGATATTCACAGTTTTCTTATATCTATGTACACACGATGGAACAATGGGTTGATATGGCGTACACAATGTCTCGTAATACAGTCGGCAATGCATCGATCCATTAGCAAAAGTTAACTAGTTTGGTTATCATTGTTTATTCGAAATTAAATACTCACATTAAATTTGACTGAAATAAGAGCAGGTCTATCTCTCTTTCTCTCTTTCGACGTACATTTACCGAAGAATAAATAAATTTTCTTGGCAAAGTACAATATGTTCAAATTGAGTCTTCTTATGACTGTACCAGCCATTTAAAGAAAGCACAGTTACCTGTAGGCAGAAAAGTGCATATGCGTCATCTCACTAAATAACACTGAAGAATGTACACATATTCGCACTTAGTATTAGCTAGAAACGCTCGTAGCCATGTAAGCCGTATTAGCCTATAAAGTAAATAGATTTATGCGAAAGACATTTTCCCCAATGCTTTCTTCTGAATATTCTACGTACACATTAAAGTCTACAGTCCTGCATCTTCCTGTCTATTTCTTGGAGGAACACGCATTGTTGTATTTTCTCTTGGCTTTCTCCTTTTATGTAGTCTGTTTTAGCGCGTTCTACATGTGTCAAGATCTATCTATCTATCTATCTATCTATCTATCTATCTATCTATCTATCTGTCTGTCTTGTGTCTGTGTGCGTGTCCCTTTTTTGTAGCTTGTCCCTCATTCTTTTGTAATTTTATTTTCTGTTTCGTCGCCATCTTGAAGTTTTGCTGATAGATAGATAGATAGATAGATAGTTTTTGATAGATAGATAGATAGATAGATAGATACAAAGTTTCTGAAATTTTAACTCGCTGAACACAGCGATCATCAGACTCTCTCACACAAATTTTTCTTTCTCAAAGTGATTTCCTTTTCCCCTCTTTTCTTTCTCTTATTCTGAACTAATCCCCTTCAACTACTTTTTAAATTTTTTGTCCTTCTCACTCTTTCATTTTTCATGTTTTTTTTTTCTCTCAAATTATGGCTGCTTCCTTATTCCTATAACATTTTCATTACTTTCTTTGTATATTTCTTTTGCATTTCTCTCTATATTTTGTATCGGAATTTCTATTTTATTTTATTATCCCACATCAAATATACAGTTGTATGTCCTGCCTATATTTTTATTTCCTTTCTTCCATCCTTCCAATCATGTAGCATCAAGCTTCACAAATCTATACGAACAAGTATTCAACACAATTTATATCATTTTAATTACCTGCTGATGAGAATTCATGAATTGAAGTAAAAATTTGGCAATATAAAATAGGTGCTCAGATTTTTTAAAATATATCACAAAATCATTCATAAAACAGAATTAGACTCAAGTTCATTGGCAGAAACGAGAAGACTCCGGAACACTGAACCATGTCTAATTGGATACTATAGAACTATCGTCTACGTTTTAGCCGTGTGTGAAAATATTGGTCTCTGTGTGTAATTAAATGAGACCTAATGAAGCTATGCCTTGAGAGAAGTAATGTAAGTCTACTTGATTTAAATACATCCGGAGACGTACAAACTTCTATCCACAACATACCTGTAGAAAACACTAACATCTAAATACAAAAAAAATGCATTCATCTAAATGCTGAATACGATTAAAAATAATGGATGCGTTAAAATTAAAAGAAGAAACCAACTCTCAATAATATCAGTTATGAACACGGCCACAACGCGTTGACTGTGTTCGGAAATTTAAAAAAAAGTTCTATTGCTATGAAATAAATCTACAGATTCAGACAAACAAAATTGCTTGATGATAGCTAATCAATTACCTGAAAGCCCTCGCATCCTCAAACAGTTCTTACACACTATGGAATACATATGAACTCACTTGGACAAATGCAAGAAAAATATAATAAAAAGGGTAATCACAATGTTTTGTCGGTCGGTTTCAGTGAAACCTGTATAAAAGAGCAATTGCTATAT